CAGATTTGCAACAGCTGGTCTTGAAGAATTTAGATAGGTGAACTAATTCGAGAGGCTTGACCGGGGTGAGGATGGGACAGACTGCAGAGAGCACTTCCATTTTCACTCTTGGTTTCAAGCTTAGTTTTTGTAGTATCTGCTGGTGGAGCCATTATCTGCTCAAAACTATTAGCTGAGATACTGTGTACGCTCTGAAGCTAAACCTCCTGATGTGTTTTTCAGATTGTTAGCAATGATGTCTGCAACTGGTACATTGAAAGGGTTTCCAAAAAGAACTAACTAGCAGAACCACAAAAGGCAAGAAGTGTGGCAAAAGAGTACAAAGGTGCAAAAATAAAAAAGAAATAATTATCTCCTGGAATTAAGCCTGTCACATGCAGACAACTCAGACTGTAAAGCATCAGTAGGCCTAGAAACTGCAGCTTCTAGAGCATCAGTAAGAGCCTCTGCAGATCCTGACAAATCTGATCATTCTCCTGCAATAGTTATTTAGCTTTAAGACACTTAAAGCATCAAGAAGACACTGCTTATCTACAAAATTACTTCCAGACATAAACAACAGAGAAGAAGCTGGCAGAGTAAAAGATATTAGCCCCCACATCCCTAAGGTGGCTCTTCTCACAAGGAGAATCACCCTCCACTTCTCTGCTAGCAGAAAACCAAATTAAACACTGTGATTCAAAACCCAAAGGCCTTAGAACATTCTCAAATAGATAAAGTCATCACAGTCTATGTATTTATGTGACCAACCTTTCACATTTGCTTTCAAAAATATTGCTTGCAATTCAGTCTTTAATCTTCCTGTATGAAACTAAAAAGGAGTACAGGAAAGAGTTTCCTCTGGAGTTTCACACACTCATTAGTACTGCAATGTTAAAGTAGGAGCCTGTATGTATGCAAGAGAAAAAAAACACTTGTGACTGGCACACTACAGAACCATTTAACTTCTTTTTTCTTGACAACAACATCTGAAAGGTAATACAGTCTTAAAATAGATTGAGAAGACTTTTGATTCATGGTCTACCTGTAACTCTATACACTATTTTTTTTTAATGGGAATTTATAACATATCGTCAATGATTTTCCTTGGTACTAGTGGTCAGTAATTTAAATATATGAAAGAAAGGTATTAATTGCCTGTACTTTTGGGTAACTAAAAGAAAATCCACTAGAAGGTTACAATCCATGAATGTCTTCACGTATATGATCTTAGAATAGTTCTGTTGGAACTATCAAGTGCAACTGCAATCTTGAAAATAGCTTCAAATACAAAAAACAACAACAACAAAAAAAACTACACAAAAGCAACACGCTGCCAAACATGCAGCTGCTTCACCACTGAACTGGCAGAGCTCCATAGTTTGATTGGTTTTCTTCTTTGGCCAGTCCTACATGGCTTCCAGAAGTCCTCAAAAGGCTCAGACAAGTGTTTGCTCAGCATAGCCTGACAATGGTTATGGACACCTTCCAATGCATCCTATCCGCAATTCCTAAATATTGCTCTGACCTGGGAGGACACGACTCTCAGTTTGCATAGTGGTTCAAATCACAGGAATCCACTGCAATATCCACTGCAGGTTCTAGTATTAGTACACAAAGTAGCATACCTTCCATAATAAACAAGTTGATAAAGATAGTGACGCTGTTGTTCCCCTGCAAAGCACTTTATCATCGTAAGTCTGTAACAGAAATCTGACTAATTAAAAACAAGTGTTATAACCAAAAGCACTTTTGTGATGCAAAACCAAAAGCACACTCTGTCAGCAAGATACTTACTAAAAATATATATATAATTTGGTACACTGTTTTAGAATTGCACCCTGTATTTTAGAGACACTGGCCAAAGTGATATGTCCCCACCTTCCCATCTGCTGAGTTACTAAACTTATTTTTCACTTTTTATTTACTAATTCAGGAGCTTTCCAAATGGCAGTCAGAATTAACATATATAAGATAAATTCGTTACTGTGATTTTAATCTAAAATAAGGTTATTTTGCAGTATAACTACTGACTCAAATATAATTGTCTGAGTTTTGCATTCTGGTTAATACATGTGTTCTTTAATTCAGTGTGGCTCAGTTGAAATCACTTATCAGCTATTTGAAAACACTTAAATATGTGCTACGGTCACAGGAAGAACAGAACAACTTACAAATATCTTTGACATGGAAAAGTAGAACAAACATCATAGAAGTTGATAGAACACAAATAAGAGGCACAATATTTAAAGTGATCATTTCATTTATAGTTTCTAGAGTAAAATTTCAAATTTATTTTTTAATTCTTTTTAAAATAAACAAAAATGCAGGAGACAGCCAACCAGCAGCTGAATATAGGAAAAAAAGGATTACATTTACTGATTAGTATTTCAACTTAGCTTCTCCTGAAATTTTTCCTGATCACTTCAATACGAGGGATATTTTCCAATCATGCTTGCAAAATTAATTAGGTTAAATTCTCTTTCATAATTTAAACAAGTCATTTGGATATTCTTACAAAGTAGCCATTACAGTTTCAGATTGAACTATTCATGACATTGCTTAATAATTAGGCTGCAGCTTCTGCGATATCATTTCTACCTAGGCAATGCACAGAGAAAACACATTAAACTAAAATATAAAGTTATGAAAAACTGAAGCAATTGCACTTCCCAATAATAAACGTAACTAACATCTGTTGCAGAAACTGCTTGGCACTTGTACAGTTTTATGAAGGATTTTGTTGTAAATAAATATTTTTCTACAATTTCTATTGCACACCACTCAACTCAGACATTTTCTTTAATTATACTCTAAGGAGTCCCTACTATCTACTAAAGAAGGGAATGCATACATACTTATAAATTTCAACTGTGATTCATCTGTCTTCTGACACATAAAAGAGCAAGGAAATGCCTATAATTAACAGACTTAGCTCTGCAACAATGCCTAACAAAATTCTAAATGTGCAACACATTATTTTTGTTAAAGCTTTAAATATTCTTCTTCTGAAATAAGGAATGGTCTTATGATTTGGCATTTTACTTTCATTTCATATCTCAACAATGAGGACAACAGCACGGCAAAGCCTTTAGGAAAGCAAGAAATTTTTACATCAGCAAAATTGACTGAATAAGGCTTCCACTTCGTATACGTAGCAAACATAGGACATCATTTTTTCCAGGAACAACATATTAACAATTATCTTTTTTTTTTTTAATTCTATTTTCCACTATTCTTAATCAAAGAATTTCTAAGACATGCACTAAGCTCCTGATAAAGTGCTGCAGTTTTTTATGAAAATATGCATAAGCTGTGCAAATTTAACAAAATTCTTGTATTCAGCTTTTCATACAGACTTGAAGAAGCAATCGAGACTTATTTGCTATGACAGTACACCAAAATACTTTTCTTAAAAGAGCATACAGTAAAAATACATTTAAATGCTACCGTAAGCAGATAATGATCTACTCCTCTACTGAGATATCACACAATTCGTAATGATGGATGAGGAGAGAATGAGGGTACTGCTAATAAAAAAGAAGAAACGCTAACTCTAAATAAACAGAAGATTCAGGTCAGGCCCAAAAGTCTATCTACAAGCAACTAGAAATGCAGGCTTTGCAAAATAAACTAGAAGAAATTAATAAACTGATATACAGAATTCCTTATTACTATTTATTTACACTTTACTTTACTTCTTCCTAAATCTGTTTTTAGATTAACAAGACCTAGAACCTGTAGATTCTATCCCTGCAAGATTTCAATTTACCTTTTTATATAACATAAAACACTACATCCATTTTTCTTTTTTTTTCTTTTTTCTTTTTCTAAGCATGGATTCTTTGAGGAAAGGACTAACAACTTAATGAAACATTTTACAGTTTAGATTACACAGTTCTCACCTTCTCACTTATTCTCTTCCTCTTGTATGAAAACCACTATTATACCCCAGTAAAATTTACACTTCTTAAAAAATAAGCTTAACTTTTTATCCTCTATTTATTTTGGCTAAGAAAGGAGGCAGAAGAAGGAACAAAGCACTACAGAAAGTACATACAATTATACCATACAAATCACAGTTATCCTACAGATGAATAAGTTTTGCACTTAATTGAATTGGTGCTCTTCAGAAAGACTGTGTTTTAACCACAGAAGTGCACCTAAGAAAGCCATAAGTTTAAATAAAAAAGCAGCAACAGAGTAAGGTGCTGAAACAGTTTTCACTGCTGTAGTAAAAAACACCACTCACAGAACAAACAGATTTCACATACAATCTTTAATAGGAAGAGTCCTTTAAATGACATTTATGAACATAACAACACAACCAAATATTAACTTCTTCTAAAACTTCAGAAGTAGAGCTTCTCCTGAAGAAGCATTAACTTTCAGCATTTTGTCAAAGGTATATATTATAGCAATGTAGGTAAGATGATTTTTTTAGAAATTCAAAAGAAAAAGGTACACTGAATAGAACAAATATTTAATTTACTATGTGATAGCTACAAATTAGACAAACACATTACTCCTTAAAGGAGGACAAGTTAAGGATTTCAAAATAGGAATTGCAACTCTGCCCTCACATCAGTACGGAGCAATTCAGAAGAAAAAGCTTTTACATAAAAGACAACCTATGGCTGCAATCTATTGCTTTAAGCAGTTGCACAGAATGGAGTACTGGGGTAGCGCAAAATTAAAATTAACAGCAAACAAAAAACCAAGCTAAACAAAAAATCACTGTCCTAGCTAAAAACGTCTTTTATCCCTTAAGTAAAACATGGCAAAAGCAGGGGAACCATTTGTATCCAAATATTACTTGTCTGTCTTCCAGAACAACTAAGCCTGTATAGAGTGCACTGGACTAAGTTCTTAGGGGCTGGGACTGTTCTTGGTCTGTGTACTTACAGCAAAGAGTAACTGAGGCCAGTCCTCAACTAGGATGTCAGAGCAATAAGCAATACTGGGTCAGTGGTGTGGAGATAGTAAATACGAACAGGCAAGATGTTGTCATGTAAACATACCTCTTGTACGGAGCGAGCTGCTGGCTTGTCTTGATGATTGGCCAGTATTAAAAACGGCAAAGTACATAACTGTGGGTGCTGGAGAGCAGAATGCAGTTCATTCCTAGCAGTTTCTAGATCATCTTCAGAGGAGGCACTGTCTAATACAAATATTACCCCTTGGGATCCTTGGTAGTAACGACTCCAGTATTTCCTGATATTGTCAGCCCCTTTCAAGACAATAATAAGAACTAATTAAACCAAGAATAATTAAATGGATTTTAAACTTGCATCTGAAAATAACCTTTCTACTTAGAACAATCAAAGCAATGGACTAAATTTTCTCTCCTAAATAATTATTATTGAAAGAATAAAAGGAAAAAAGCAACCATAAATCCAACACATGCACAAAACCCCCTTCAAATTAACATTGTTTAAATAAGGAATTTGACTCAGTGCAGTTTTTCATCCCTGAAAGTTTCTGCTCCATTAATGAGCAGAAGTGCTTTCAGTTCTTAATTCCGTGCTTTCAGTGTCACATAGCCTAATCCTATACCTTCTCAATGAAATATCTTGGTACTAACACCTAAATCTTTGTCCCATTTTACCTAGCCCTACACCTGCTTGCTGTAATCTGCAGCTTCTGTCATGGAGGTTGCTTATTTCTGAGCATGGTAAGGTCCATTTTGTAATTGGGAAAAAAAGGTGTCAGAAATGCCTATTAAAGTAATTAGACAATGAGGAGAATGGTGATACCATAGTGAGATGAATAGTGAATGACGAGCTATGGTGACCACATCTCTGTTAACTAAACTAAGGATTCTAGAAGAGCCCACCAGTAGACATGAGTGACTGTATAGGCTTAAACGTGCCACAGTAATTTTTAGGGCACAGTTCAGCAGCACTCAGCCATCTTAACAGAAGCCAAGCAATAAGGTTATCTATAGAAAGCTTCTGTCTCCCCTGGAGAGCAGCATATGCTGTAACATTGAGGTAGGGGAAAAAATGTATTTGACAGCTGTCAGACTATCTAAACTATGATTTGGATATGGGCTATTCTCTGTATGTCTGAATCTGGCACTACACTCATGGGGACTAACACAAAAAAGTGAACAGCACCAGCAATACTCTAGTAGAAAGCTTGACACGTCTGCTAGACAGTGATTTGCAAAAAATATACTGAAGTTATCCCTTACAGACGCTTTTCTTATTTTGAGATGAGAAGTGAATTTTAATGTAAACGCAGATACAAAAGTGCCGATAATAACAAAACTTCATTTTATAGTGAAACTACACATAAGTTCTGAGCAACATATGTGCACAAAAGGAAAAATTTATACAACATAATTACTAAAACATTGATATGATTCCTAAAATATTCAGTTAAAGTATACATTGTGCAACAGAAAACTTACTAAATAGAGGTGAGGAAATTAATATCTAAAAAGGAATTTGTAACATATACTTTAGACATCCAAATCAGAGTACTCAGATCTTGCCCCACGGATTTAATATCTTCTCTGTATCTGCCACACTGGAACCTCAAGCATTCCATTTCTGTATTCTGCATCTAGCCCAATTTAGGTTGCTAACAAATGTTTGGAACACACACTATTTCCTACACAGAATATTGAAGCCATACCTGAACATTTTTTTAGAGATCTAAAGGGTTGACTACTTTAAGATAATGCTCGTGGGATTTAGTCAAGACCTTGCTTAACTTCTTTATCAGTTTAAGGAGACTTAACCTAACAACACAAAAATAGGACAGGTGCTTCATCATCAACTTCTGAAGACGAACATCACTTGTACAGAAGAGGAACTGCATTGAAAGCTAATTCTATGTTTCTGTACCACTGCAATATCTATCAATTGTACTTGTAAAGAATTTCCTGGCATCTGTTATATGTCCCAGTCTGTCTAAACAGCTGTCTGTGTCAGAACCAAGTAGAGCAAGTTGCCAGAGGAACACTATTTACCTAGCCGCGAACAGCAGTGTCACAGGCATCTGAAGTATCGCATTACTCTAAAAATTGGTAGAGAATCATTTTCAATGAACTGAAGGGCCAACACCACAACCAGTTCTTTGAAGGCCTTTTTTTTTTCCCTAGCAACACAACATCTGTCTTGTTTACTCCAAG